ATTTTTAATAAAAATAACCAGCAAACACTGAACCGCTCGAGATATAATATATTTTTATAGTACATTTTTTCCTGCAGAGAAAAACATTTTATATGTGGAAAACCATCGTACAAAAAAACTGCTACTGTTTTACACTACAAAGTTGCAACGTTTTCACGTGAACGTTTCATGCTTCGCAATAAACAAAGACGAAAAAGTAATTTGTCATCGATCTCATTCCGCAAAGCATTAACTGTCGATTCAAGTTCTCTCTTCCATCAACGAGAACTCGAGTTATCTCGGACAGATTCTTCGCGGCATGACTCTCTCAGATTCTCAATTCCACATTTCTGATCAAGTTACCTCGTCAATGAAATCACGACCGTGCTAAGCGACTTCTCTTTCGTGCTGTTTTCCCCATTTATCGCATTTGTAGATTGATATGAAAATGACATGAATCATTGCGCGCAATCGCCATAAACTATGTATAAAACTTCTCTAAGATACATTTGAATAAAGGCTGTCTGGAAAAACGCCTCGATGAATTAAAAATAATCGCTGTTTTTCCTTCTATACAAATAAAATAAACAGAAATAAAATAAAATAAAAAAAAAACGATAAAAAATCTTCGATTTTATCACAAACGTTTAAACGTTAAGATGTTGAAAAATACCGCAATTTTTCAAACGTCTCTTATAGACAACTTTTGAAACGTGTGAAACATTTCGTCGTTAAATAAATCGGTTAGAAGGAAAACTTCAATTTCCCGATGTTGAAGCACGAACTAGGCCATCCTGGCAAAATTATCTCGGATGACATCCAAGATATTGGATCGTTGCGCTTAGTCCGATGGTGAAGCCCGTTACGATCGTTACGTTATCGGTTGTGAGACGATGTGAGGTGACACGAAATGAAATGTGCGTCGCGAAGTGTGCCTCGAAGGGAGAGAGCTTATACCAGTGAGCTCTATAACATACTGGAGCGAGTCATTGAGGTGTGAGGGTGTCTCAGTTCCTAAACAAGAACACTCTAATACAAAATTGGTACTGTTTTCTTTATCAGGGATTGGCGAATGCTGTTTTATTATACCATAAATAGAAAAAAGTTAGAAAGACTTATGTTGTTTGGCTCCTTTTTCTTCATCGGGCCGCAGTTTTCTATAGTTTAGCATAGGAAAGGCTCGCTCCAGTATATTATAAAGCTCACTGGCTTATACACGCGTGCAATGAGAAACAGCAGAGTGAAAGACGCGAAAAGAAACGCGGTGATGAGACTCGTCGATCTGATCGTGCGACATAAGCTTTATGCTCGTTATGTCGCTATGTCCCGATTCTGTAATCTTAACATCGATATCGTTATATTATCGTTGCATTACTTTTTATCATATGTAATATCTGCACAAGTAGATAACGATACCGTCACTAGCCTTCTTTTTTTTAACCGAACTTATTGCATGATTTACTTTTCCTCTTTTTCTCTTCACGTTAGAGAATTAAAAAAAAGTTCAATTAAAAAGTGCAAAAAGTTCTGTTAAAAAAAGAATGAGTCAAATGTTATTAATGCCCGTTTCTGTCAATGTAATTAATTTTAATTACTGTTCAACTTACTCTTCATCTTTTTCCAGTTCTTAGAACTAGAAAACGATGAAGAGTTAGTTGAACCGAGATTAAAATTAAACTACATTGATAGAAATGGGAGAATCGGAGTACTGAACACAAAGATTGTCGTAACTTATAACTATTTCGGACAGAGTCGTAACTCAACGTAAAAACTTATCGTAATTGTTTCCAACAATCTTCGTGCTCAGGCCCTTACGCACGATACGCAGCAATACGCAAAAGACAGGGTGGTCCCGCGAGTCTCGAGCGTATATTACTCACATTTAATATAGTATCACACATAATACTATATTATTATTATATATTATAGAATTATATTATATATACAGACTCGAGATATCTGTCCACCTGTCTCGCCGCAGCGCGATCAACTGATCGCTTGCTCTCTTTCGATCTCGTCTACTGTTTTTTTGGGATCGTCATCTTATCAATTAATTTCTGATCGAATCCACCGATCTTTGCGAATCTCGGTCTCTCATGTCACAAGGTCAATAGACAATATGTCGAACGGGTTGCTCGTTTTACAAATCTTTCTTTCGATCTTGATTCGAAAGAAGCTAGTACTCATGACCGCCACTTCCTGTCTCGAACTCGCAACGGTATTGTATTTCTATTAGTTAATCGCAAAACATTCGCTCGCGTACAACCGTCCGTTTCGCCTAAGTATCTCTCTAAGCACTCATCAAGGAAACATGCATCTTGCATACAGAAACATCGCATATATCGCTTCTTAATGCTGAATCATGTACAAGCTAGCAATGCAGTAAATTAGTAGACTCTCATATATACTCTCATATATTCCTGTTCATAATCGCCGTACTTGATATCTACGAACATTTCACTTAAATTAACGCGTGCGAACTCTCCTCCCTCCCAGACCTCCCTCTCTCCTAAATATATTCTCGGTAAAACAATTTTACCGACATGTGTCATCGACGAGCTCCTCGATAGATTGACTAGAGCCGAAAAACGATCTTCACAAGATTTCGATTTAGTTACATCGCGGGTTGTTCGATCTCTCATTAAATCTTAGATTCGTGTGGAATCAGTACGAATCGAGCAATGTTGAGAGATGAATCTTTGGCTCTCGTCAGACGGCATCTCCTAGATGTTTTTGCTCGATTTTCTTTCCTGTTTTGCTTCCCCAATTTTACTCGTCGACCGTTATGCATATACACAGTGAAAAAAATATTCTGATTAAATCAAGAAAAAGATTCAAAAAGAATGACATTTATGTTAGTTTAATCAGAACATTTTTCTCACAAGGAAAAACATGCTACATTGCAAACAAAAAAAACAATACAAAAAACCAATATTATCAGTCGAAAGATCACGTTTGAAATAGATATTCTAGTTGGTCAAATCTTGAATTCTGTGGATTCTGTACCTGACTGAGTTTGGAATATATTTGGTTATTGTAACTAGATACAAAATATCTCGAAAACAATACATTAAAAAGATATTTTAAATAAAATTTATATAATTTCAAGAGGACCATCAAATGAGTTACTTAAATTTTAAACCCACTTGAACCCAATAAGCTCCTGAACCTAAAATCTAAATAGCTCAACTGATGATCCTCTTCAAACTTTACAACTTTTATTTGAAATTTGAAAATGCATTGCTCAAAATATTTTGTATCTAAGTTAAAACATGTTTTAACCCAAGTCGGAAGTGCAAAATCCATACGATCTCAAGATTTGACCATCTAGAATACTTAATTCAAATATGAACTTTGATAACATTAATTTTTTTTATATTACTTTTGCAATGTAACACGTATCCCTTATTAGTACGGTACAACAACATAATCATAAACAATCAAGTCGCGCGCGAATAGCCGGATTCGACCGACATCGCAATTGACAGCGATCTATCTCCTCTAATGAACCGATCGAAGTCTCGGCCGCACAGTTGATTCTCTTCGAACAGTCACAGTAGCTAAATTTGTTAGCGCAGTAGTTAATATGATAATTTAAAGTTAAAGTAATCCTTCTCTCTACCAACGCTAGAAACTGATGTTCATGATCGGTCGAATCTGCGTATCTTGCAACAACAATCAACAACATCAATCCTATCGTGTCCTCTCTCGACAGAAAGCGCAGTTTACTGGACCCCACAATACCTTAACGTAGCTAGATTAAAATTTAAATCATGCGCATTGGCACGCGCTATTTGGTACGTTTGAGACTTCTTACACATATCATCTTTTTGGTTTTCCGTATAAATACTTTATCTAAATCACTTTAGCTAAAGTCACAAAGTATGATTAACTCGTCACTCGTCTCACTGATGGCGCTCCAAATGCCATCGACTATTGCCATTAACTACTAGTAACGTAGCTTAGAAGCGTCGAGTATCGTCTGATACTTGGAAAGATTAAAGATCAAATAATTTAAGATCGCTAATAATAGCATTGCTGTCACACTCGAGGCTCGTTTCTAAAGTATCGATACTTCACATTGCTATAAATTATGGCGGTTCGTGGTCCACGCGAACAATATCAACGGTATAAAACACTTCTGAAAAGAGTATGAACTCTCTTGTAAGATGTAGAAGTTATCTCAGAAATATCTTTCAACGTATTATATCGTTCAAGTATCATTCAAGCATTTGAAAGTGTATCCTTCTTCAAGTATCAGACGAGCACAAGTATCAGCGGCCGATATTTTCGAGCCTTGCTTCAATTGCATTCGTCAGTCCTCAGATATATGCAGTCGCATTTGCGTTTTCCATCCACCCTTTTCGACTAATCTGTCATCGTCTTTTTATCCCACGAACTTTTATACTGATGTCAGGATCACTGTCGGATAACAAAACGGGATCTCTGATAACTCAAACGATCGACTTCTCGTCACCTGATCCCGACATAAGGCCTGAGCACAAAAATCATAATATTTATCATAATTATTGATGGAAAAAAAATAGATGGTTCAGCAAAACTATAACTTGCTGCACGAATTCAACATCTATAACTAAGATTTGATAAGTCTAACTAAGTTTGATAAGATTTGATAAGATAAAGAAATTATATCTGTAATTATTAGTGATAATACAGCTAATTCTTTGCTACAATAAACACTGTTAATGTAACAAGTTTCCTTCATTATAGTAGCAAAAGTATGCGCCAACTTAGCTAGC